ATCTATCCTTTTGCAGTCTATATATTATTAGTTTGAAGTATAAATCTTAGTGTGCACATGTTTATGAAGGTGTCTAAAGCAGTGAGCTAGAACGTATGTAAGTGTGTGTGTGTGTGTGTTTATTATATTTCAGTAATCACAAGGATATTTGCGTTTTTACATGACATATATCTAGTAAATCATGGTTTTGTTTACATGTACAAATCAAATGGTATATGGAGTATGATGAACTTAAATAAGCATCCATGATTTCATATTTATCAGGCATTCAGGAATATTTAAAATTCCGAACAACCAGTTACACCAAATCAATGTTTTTAGCACATTCGTTTGTTTGAAAACACTATTTTTTGGAGCGCATGATTTCTTTATTTTAACTGTTGTTTTGATTAGTTAGTAGGCTGATAAAATAGATTCCTTCTGTTTCTTTGAATCGTCACATGAAAACAAATGCTCCACAATATCATTATTTAATCTGATATTTGACCAAACTATGGTCTATCTGTAGCTACTCATTAAAAAAATCTGATTAATTTAAATCTTTTTGCTACTTCAATCAAATAAACAGTAGTCTCGAACGTTAACTTACACTCACTCCTAACATATCTAAAGTCTGAGTATACATTGATCACCCTCCATAATGGTGAGCTTGAACATCCATCAACGACGACTATTGTGTCAGGGGCTTTGTGGAGCTGTCGGGTACAAATCAGGTTTCGTATAACCAGTGATTTTAAAACGAATGTAGGCGCCATAGTGTTGACAGGGGAGACAGGCGTGACGCGACCGCCATACCGCCAGTTAACGTCTCTAACGCAGTTTAACAACAAACGACCTATCCTTTTGTAAGGGTCATGAATCTACCTTCCAGTATCCCCTGTCAGCTTTTACGTTTTAGACGAGATGAAAAAGTATATACAATTCGTTTACTGCATCCATATTTTGCATTTTCGTTTTCTATGAACGGGTTCAATAACGATTAAATTTCAAGGCCGCAAAAAATTATTAGAAATAATCAAATCCTAGAAAAAACATAAAGTGTCCTATTACTACAGATGTTTTTTGAAGTGCAATACGTGCAATCTCCAACAACATGGAACCAGCATGCCGAACATAAAACTTTTAGTGAATAATACTTTATTGAAAAAGATAAATCGAATATAAGAATATCATAATATATATTATACAGTTATAAATCAGTGCATTAACAATTTTAACCCTTTATCTACTGACGGTACTTATAAGTACCAATTTAAATTAGCAAAAAGCTATATTCTAAAAAAAATCATTAATTTTTAAAAATGTTTATGTTTAGTAAATACATACCAAATGATAAATATGTTGTATTTTGCTAATATTAATTGTTGATAAAAGAAAATACATTTTAAATAATCATTAAAGCTGGTGCTTAAATACACACGCAAGCACACGCACATATATATTTATTTATATGTATATTTACAAACACAAAATAGGATTTTTAAAAAAAAACAAGTTTTTGTCCGGTTCTGAAAGGTTATACAACGTCAAAATTAGTCTAATTCTTGATTTAGATTTGTTCAAAATTACAATATATCCTTTATATTCAGAATACAATAAAATTAGGAGGTGTAAAACAATAAAAACTGTCAAAATCATATTTATGTTGTGTGTACGATTACAAGAATGTTTCAATACTAAAAAAAAAAGAAAGTTAAAAAAAAACAATCAGCTGTAAGTGTAATTGTAATACAATTGATAGTTAAGTAATCTCTATTTTATTTAAAGTAACGACGAGAATACATATATTTATAAGTACACATATTTTACTCGACAAACACAATTTATAATTTATCTTGCGGCTAAATCAACCATCTCGATCTCACTATCTGAAATCGAAAGAATTAAATAAATACATTTTCATGTTATGCGTTTATAATATTTACTATACTTTTTGTTAAATATTGTTCGAAAATAATTATAAATGCTCGAAATGTAATTGTTGTATGGCCACATTTTTAAAAAGTTCACTTAAATTTCTTTAGTGCATTATTAATGAGTTTTATATCAAGATAACATTTTCTTTACCATGTTTAAATAATGTAATATAATTTTAAAATCAAATATATGTTGTAAGAGAAAAAACCGTTATGAATATTATAAATTAAATTATGGGATTAAAGATTAATATTGCTATATAATCAAAATGTATTTGTTTTTAGCAGAAAATAAATCAAACAATATCAGAAAATAAACGTAAATTTCTTTAGTTACAAAAACTTACTGATTTTAGTCTCCGTTGTTTGGTTGGTCTCAGATTTGGCATTGGACTTGTACTGTTTCAGACAGAAAGACAATTATTTTGACTAAAACTAATACTAACATTTAGAGAATGTGTTTTAGCTTAAAATTTACAATTGTATCAGGCACTTACCCCTCCGCCCGAAGCACTGCTGTACTTCTGACTGTATTCCATTGATGAAGCTGTGATTCGACGTCGAAACGACTTGATTCCATCTCTTATCTGTTAAAGTAAACGATGTTAAAACTGATGTTTAGCACACGTATTAATAAAGCATATTTTATAAAATTGTAGAGGAGGGCTTTTTTTTTTTCGTTTTCATAGCTATGAAACTTCTGGTTAAAATAAAATCGACATACAATATATGGTTTCACTTTTATTATATTTCCCAATAACAATTAAGTAAAGTGTAAGAACATAACAATATAGACAGTGGGCTTTACTTACCTGATACTGTAGCACACATTGGAAGATAAAGATAGACAAGCCCTGAATTCAAAAATGAATATAGGAAAAAAATTAACTTTAATCTTAAAATGTCTATTTGACTTAAAAACATGTTATACTAATATTATTTAATTAACGCAATGCAACTCATTGCTTTATATACAAACATATTATATTTTATATTTAACCCTATTAATAGAACTCGTTTTAAAATCAAGCGTTTCATCTTTTTTTGTAATACTTCTTTAAATGGTGATAGTGGATCATTTTTTTAAATAAAAAAAAAACAACATTAAAACAAACTATAAAAAAAAACAAATAAAAATAAAGTCTGTTTAAAAACACAATAGTTATTATAAATGCCATTATTTTTAGATGTTTTATTTAAAGAACTATTATAGCCGTTTTTCCATTTAATCATGCATCTTGCACCTGCAGTTTTAGACAGTACAAATTTACATAATTGTGATAAATTAATTACAGTACCTACCTGTAAGGAGTTGCATAATGCAAACAGGTAACGGAACACGGGGTTATCGCTACTGATGGACACGATGCCAAAAACCCACGTGACGCCTAGTATGGGGGATAGCACTAGGACTGACCACATGACTGACCTATGAATAGGGTAAAATAATAATTATGTAAAAAAAAAACTACAAACAAATTAGAAAATTAATAATGGATAATATGACAGTGTTGTTCACAATTTGTTTTAATAATCTAATATGCATAAAAATAAAATGTCACCATTTGTACTTATTCCATTCTAAAATTTGAAATTTTGGTGAACAATTTCAAAGAACTAAGATTTAGATGATTAATGACATGAATGTTGGACCTATAGTCCCTTTAAGCATTAATGTAAACTAGTTAGCTACATGTATCCATTACTTATTGTCATAACGTGTAATGCATATGCACTGACATGTACAATTCTTGTCGAAATTGGATTACAATGCTATTGTTTAAGATGATATACACTTAAATTTTAAGGATTACTTCGTTTTCTTTTTAAGGTCTTTGTCCATCATAACACGAGAACCTTGCATTACTCGCAGCACAATGAAGAGGATGATGAAGTTAAACTGTAGGTTGAGGAAACATTTTTACAAACACAGTTAACATTAACATTATAAACACACATCAATTCGAACAAAAAAAAGATGATGAAGTTAAACTGGAAGTTGAAAAAACATTTTAAGAAAAAAAGGCAACTAAATTAACATAATAAACACACATCATTTTGAACGAAAAATAAAGGGGCAAAGTTAAATCAAAAGAGGAAAAAACATCTTAGCTAAAGCAGGAAACCAATTAAGATCACATATACAAATAACAAAAATAATTTAGAACAACAAAGAGGATGTTGAACTGGAAGTTGACAATAGATGACTCAGCAAAAACATTAAATAGTTAATGAAAAAATAATTGATTGAATTAAACAAAACTAAAAAATCACTGAGAACAATTTTAGCAGCATGAAGATAGTTTTCGGAATATTTTATAAACGTCAGACTATGTAACAAGTAGTTGATCTTAAGAGTTAAAAAAACGTACAAACATTTTAATAAAAATTTGATTTTAAGAGTTAATAAAAAAACGTACAAACATTATAATGAATAGTTGATTTCAAGAGTTAATAAAAAAACGTACAAACATTGTAATAAATAGTTAATTTTAAGAGTTACCAGTAAAATAAGCATAACTGGTGCAGCGAACGCCCAAATAACGCCATTTTCAGGGGACAACCAACAACTGAAAAATGTTTAATACTTTGTTTTTCCCGATATAATGAAACACTTCCTTAATTAGTTGTAATTGTTATTACCCTTTTACTGTTTTTAAAAGGTGTATATGTAGAAAGTAGGTTAAAAATTATACAAATAATCGTTCCACTTACGCTCGATCTGTCCCATATCCTGCGGCTTTTGTCACAGCAAGGGAGATCACCAAAATAATAAATGGAGTTCCTACAATTTCCGACACGTTTTACATTTAATAAGAAAACAATATTAGTTGGTATCTCTACTCATATTAACAACTCGTTATATATAATGGAATTAAAATAATAAACTTCAATATAACACGGTTATAGATTCTATAACCGTGTTATATTGAGGTTTATTATTTTCTCTCAATGGCTTGCACCACCATGCGGAAACGCCTGTAGTAAAATTATTACTGATGGGCCCTGTTCTAACCCCCACCCCCACTGAATCCCACTACTTGTTAAGTAAGAAAGGACTGGGAGCCTTTTTAGAACTTTTAATTATTTCTACAATAGAAAAGAAACTGAAATTTTCTTTTCGTTTATATTATTTATATTAAACAAATATTACAATTTCAATGTAAAAGTTTTACTTTTTTTTAAAGAGGGAAAAGGGCCCCCAAAGTGTCAGGGCCCCTATGCCTTGCTTACGCTAGTTTTACGGTGGCTACGCCACTGTTGTAGAATAAACATTTCACCCAACATTTAGCTTAGTGAATATATAGCTTACGATACATAACACCTAGTAAATAGAATACATTACACCTAGCAACTAGACAACTTACCGTACATCATGGCTATCAGATACTTGAGGATGGAGGTCTGTTTGACTGACGTGACCGACTTAAGTATGAGCAGACCCTGGGCAAGCATGATGAAGAACACTGTCAGGAACATGTAGTGCAGTAACGCTGCTACTACCGTACAACCAGCCTGCAATATTGGAATGGCATCAGGGTTAGTGCTTGTGATAGACGTCGTTCCAAAATAGGCTCTTTCAACGGGTGCTCACCTACAAGTCATCTTTTTATTTTAAAAATATTTCGAAAAGAGCGCTTCTTATGTAAATCAACTATAATTAGTTTGGACATTAACAACTTTTATAACCTACCCTGTTTTCTGTTCGGTTGACACCAATCAAGAATGTAATGTACCCAATGGCTAACGTTATACTCAGGTTTAAATGTAGAACAGATCGATCGCTTTTAACGTATCTGGAAACGTTCACAACATGGTGTGTTATGTTGATGAAAATGCAATTGAATTACAAGTAAACATAGAGTGGTATTGGTCATATATTGATATAAAGCATATAGTAAATATTTGTATTGTGATCACTTAATGGTTAGCATGGATGTTTGTGTTTAATTTATTTAATATGAGATTTTAATTAAACAATGTGTATTCTTTTTAAGTGACTTTAATATCGTGATTTAAATTTGTCATGTAGCTTATGATGATAATACAACTAGCAAATGATAAAAAAATACTGACCTCCAGATTACAAAATACACACAAACTGTAGAACCTAAACAGATGATTGAAATGACGCAACCCACAGCTGATATTCTGCTAATTATTTCATGATGGATGTCCTAAAAATATACACTGTGTTTTAATATTATTTTAAGAGCTTAATTTATTATTAAAGGTAGATGTATCTAATAAAATAAACACAACTTTTTGTTTGAAAACCATTCAATAAAAATATTTCCGTACAGCCTAAATAGCTTTAGTAAGAATTTTTATAATTATCGCTAATTACAAATATATGTATTCGTGTTATAAAAGTAAAAATAAATGCACATATGATAAAAGATTTTTGAAGACGTGTATTAGAAAATGTCTTATGTTAAATTATAGAAATAAAGTTACAGCAATTCTGTGGCTACTCATAAGGATGGCGAAGCTAGTCAGATGATCACAGCTACACTTTATGATGTTTCCCTCAAACATTGTCCTTCTACAACCCTCAGTAGACCACATGCTGTTTAAAGAATATCGTCAATTTATTTATATCAATTGCACGTTTTTAATATTTGAACTATACGCAATATATTACACGACGCAGCTTCTCATAGTTTTTTTTTTCATTGATAAATTTTGAAACCAAACTGCTTTGAAATTAAAAAAAAAATTAAAAAATTATTTGATTTGTTTAATGAAATTTATTCAAAACAAATGTATTCAATAGAAATGCAAACGTCCTACTTTAGTGCCGTGACGTGAAAAGCGCAAAACGGATCAGTGACGTTTCCCTAAAAACATTGACAAATATATGATATATTAATACCCGTATTTAAATCATACATATTGAAAATATAAAATGAGTATGTATGATAACATATTAATACACGTATTTATTTAATACATGTATAAATACAAAACGATTTTTGTTATTAATTGGTTTATTTTTCCATTCATGTTTTACCTGGTTTAATTGAAACGTTAGTTCTAGGGGCGAGGAAAGGTTGGTAGATCCATGACTTAAACTAAAGGAAATCACGTCAGATATTATCATATTCGATATCACATTGCCATCGGGACTGAAACTTTATTTTAAAAAAAGATTATATTTAATCTTGTTAACTCATAGTTAAGGATATTGTCTTTTTACTTATGATATTGCAAAGAGAAAAAAAAATTAAACTTTATTTCATTACCTCTCTTCATCTAAAGTTTTTGCTAGAAATTTATCCGATATATTTCTAAAAATAGTAAAGGAAAAACTGGCATTTTCTGAAATACAAATAGTGTCTTTTAGTTTCATATCTGAAATATATCTTCAATATATGACACAACGTATTTATAATGAAGCCATTTTGACATTAAACGTAGATTGATTGTTAAAAATAATGAATAATCATCTAAGTAAGTCTATGTTATGTCACATTTAATTTTTATCGGGTATTCACCCAAGCCATAAGTTTGAAAAAAAAACATTCTCGTAATTTTATAAACTCGAAAAAACACAATATAAATACAAAATAAGAAAAACAAA